GGAAACAGACTGGCTTGGTCGCAGTGACTGTGGCGTCCTTGAGATGCTCACATTACTGCCCGGCCTGCCTCCCACCAGGAAGTCTGGGAATGAGGAGATTCAGATAAACTTTTAAAATCTCAAACATGTCTGTTTATGGCTCTTTGGTCCCCTTTGCTCCTAGTGGTGACTTTTGTGCTTCTGAGTTGTCCCCTGAGAGCTTGGTCTGGGAAAAGAGGAGGGGGGGTCCTCGCTGGAGGAAGAGGAGCTTTCTAGTCAGTCATGGGTAGGGCTTGGGCACAGTGGTCCCGGTTCTACCTACTTTCTGGACTAACTGACAGTGCCCTGGCTTTTGCAGGCTCTTTCTCCTTCACTTCTCACTAAATGGAAGCTTCCCTGCTCCTTGGCCCTATCCCTAGAGTTGCTGAGAGAAGCAGGACTTCCTCCAGACCTGATGGGCTGCGGGCTGTGCTGCAAATGGCGTGCCCCACCTTCTGTGCTCTGACACCTGAGTGCCAGAGACACACTGCCCAGCCTCTGAGTTACACATTCACAGCACAGCCAGCCACCTTACACACGCCAAACACCGCCTCATCTCCATGGAATTCAGGGGCCTGGCCCTTCCACACCCAGAGTACATTCTGTCCAGCAGCTCTGAGTAGCCTGTCCTGGGCTAGGTCCTCTATGGTGCTAGATGTACAATGCCATTTAATCCTACTGAAAACCTCACGAGGCGGGTGTTAGCTCCATTTGGAGATTTTTATTTTTACTTTATTTTTGAGACAGGGTCTCACTCTGTTGCTCAGGCTGGAGTGCAGTGGCATAATCATGGCTCACTGTAGCCTCAACCTCTAGGGCTCTAGCGATCCTCCTGCCTCAGACTCCCGAGTAGCTGGGACCACAGGTGTGCACCACTGTGCCCTGCTTTTTTTTTTTTTTTTGGAGACGGAGTCTTGCTCTCTTGCCCAGGCTGGAGTGCAGTGGTGAGATCTCAGCTCACTGCAACCTCTACCTCCCTGGTACAAGTGATTCTCCTTCCTGCCTTAGCCTCCTGAGTAGCTGGGATTACAGGTATCTGTCACCACGCCCAGCTAATTTTTTTTTTGTATTTTTAGTAGAGACAAGGTTTCATCATGTTGGCCAGGCTGGTTTCGAACTCCTCACCTCAAGTGATCTGCCTGCCTCGGCCTCCCAAAATGCTTGGATTACAGGCGTGAGCCACCACGGCTGGCCCTGCCCTGCTAATTTTTAAAATTGTTTTGTAGAGATAGGGTTTTGCCATGTTGGCCAGGATGGTCTTGAACTTCTGGGCTCAAGTGATCCACCTGCCTTGGCCTCCCAAAGTGTTGGGATTACAAGCGTAAGCCACTGCGCACAGCCCCTCATTTAGAGATGAAGACATGCTCAGAGAAAAGTCTCCACTGGGACCTATCCCAATAAATTAGGTGCAGGCTCTTTCCAGCTGCTGTAACTAAACTTCAAATATAATGGTAGCTTAGAGGAGGGGGATGTTTCTTCTGCTGGGCGTCTAGTGCAGAGATCTGCAGTAATGGGGGCCCACACCTTCTTCAGTCTTATTTTCCTGCCATTCTGATACATTGTCAGACTTCATGTCCAAGGTCTGCACCAGCTCCCATTACTGTGTCTGCATTTCCACCCAGAGGGAGGAGGGAAAGAAGGGGATGGGCCGTTCTCTTTTTCTTTTTACTCTGTTTCAACAAGCTTGCTGGGTTTTTTTTGTTTTTTTGTTTTGTTTTTTTTTTTTTGAGCACCTGCCTTTTTCTGGACACTTAGATTCATCAGTGAATGAAACAAAATGCTGTGCCCTTGCAGTACTTTCCTTCTAGCAGGACAGTCAGAAATAACATACAAATAAGTGAACGATATACTATGTTTGAATGTCATGAATGCAGGGGAGGAAAAAAGGATAGAACAAGGTAAGGGGACTCTAATGTGTTTGTGTGTTGGGGGGGCAGGTTGTACTTTTAAATAGTGGGCTAGGGCAGAACTCACTATAAAGTTGAGGTTTAAGCAAAGGCTTGTAGGAGGTGTAGGAAGAGCGTTCCAGACAAAGGGAAGGGCCAGAGGAAAACTGAGATACAGGCATACTCGGACAGCTCTAAGAGTAGCCCGGAGACACTGTGGTGGGGCAGAGTGAGAAGGGGAGGATGGCAGGAGGTGGAGTAACAGAGGTAAGGGTGGGGAATTGGTGGGGGGTAGGGAAGACTTAAGGCGGACAATCTGGGGCTTGTGTCCAAAATGGTAGCCACTTGGCTACCTAAAGTATTAAATAAAATAAAACATTCAGTTTCTCATCATACTTGCCATATTTCAAGTGTTTTGGTAGTTGCATGCGGCCAGTGGCTACTATGTTTGTTAGCACAGTTATAAAACATTTCCATCATCACAGAAAGTTCTATTGGAAAGCACTGATCTAAGACCTTATAGGCTGTTTCAAGAACTTTGCTTTTCCTCCTCTGAAATGGAAGCTTCTTTTTTTCAAGGATACTACCAGGAAGTTGCCCACCTCCTTTCTACTTGCATCCTATTGGACAGAACCTGATCACATGGCCACAGTTGCAAGGGAGGCTGGGAAATGTAATGAGCCACATGCTGATAGTTGAAATCTACATTACTATCCAAAAGGAGGAGGATGCCTGTTGTGGGGGGGCCAGTTAGCAGTCTCTGTCACCCCCAGGTCTGGTGAACCCCAAAGCACTCTTCACTGCACTGTTCTGTTTTGAGCCTTGGGAGAGAATTCTTTGAGAAAAACAATCTGGAAATCACATCCTGGTGATCTCAGACCCTGAGGTCTAGGAACCAGGTTGAGGTGCATTTAGCTGTCTGCTCTACCAACCTCTTGGACATTCAGATATCCAGTCCCCCAACTTGTTTGGGGATCCTCACAGCTGCCCCATGGGCGTCACCTGTCCACTACTGCAGGCTAGGGGCAAATCATAACATACTAGTCTCCTTTGGAGCCCCCTGCTACTTCTCCTCGGGGTCTAATTGTCCCAGGACAGTTGCGAAGGAAGGTAGACCAATTTTTTAAGTGTTTGTTTCCACTCTGCCATTTTCTATGCTCCCCTCGTCTTCAGTGACACTCCATACTGAACTCTTGTCGTCTTCTGTCTCCAAAGGAGTCAGTCTCCAATTTTATATGGAGATAATGGAGGGTTGTGTAGGTGTGGTGGGCAGGGTGGGTACCACAGGGGACAGAGAGCAAGCCTATCAGTACCCCCCAATCGCTCAAGTCTGAGCTGCAAGTTTGTGTTTTGAGAGCTGGTGAAAAGTCAAGATAATTTTTTTTTTTTTTTTTGAGACAGAGTCTTGCTCTGTAGCCCAGGCTGGAGTGTGTGATCTTGGCTCACTACAACCTCCGCCTCCCGGGTTCAAGCAATTCTGCCTCAGCTCCCCCGAGTAGCTAGAACTACAGGTGACTGCCACCATGCCCAGCTAATTTTTGTGTTTTTAGTACAGAAGGGGTTTCACCATGTTGGCCAGGCTGGTCTTGAACTCCTGACCTCAGGTGATCCACCTGCCTTGGCCTTCCAAAGTGCTGGGATTATAGGCATGAGCCACCGTGCCTGGCCAAGATAATCTTGAGAAGGTGGTGGGGAGTGTCTGCCTCAGAAATCAGGATGAGGACCCTGAACCCCAGGGGACTGGGACTTATGTGTTGGGACCAGGTTTCTATCCTAACAGCAATCCCTACTATCCTGCTGACGACCCATAAGACAGGCTGTGGTAAGTCCCTAAGTAGCTACCTGTGTGGTCCTCACAATCTGATGGTGCAGGAATAATGAGAAAAACTCAGAATTGTGTAAAAAAAAAAAAAAAAAAAACCCACCTTCCCCCAAACTGGGAGGGAGCTGAGAGGTCAAAAAGTGACTCAGACAAATCCAGCTTGGTGAGTAGACGAGGTTTTTAGGACTTACATACAAGGCACTCTTGGATGGCAGCGGACAGCTTTAGAGATCTGTGCTGCCTCCCATCCTGAAGCTGCTTTCAAGCTAATTTTCTGACTCTTTGCTTACCGTGTATGCAAATGGACTGTTTTCCTTGGTGGGTTCCCAGATACTCTACGGGACGTTTGGGTTCTCAGGGACACCTGGCTCCTCGGCCAGGCAGCGTGACCTTGGCTGGTCACCTGGCCTTCAGGATTCAGGCAGCGGCCTACACCTTTAAGTAAACAGGTAGGGGACCTGTCACACTACAGCAGGTACCATCATTGTCCCCATTTTGCGAGTGAGGAAATGGAGGCTCCAAGAGGATGAGAAACATGCCCAGGAATTCACCTGTGGGCTGGTGTTACCTCATACTCACGTGGTTAGCCAGCACAGGCTCAGCTTGCGCCTGGCCTCTCCTCCCCAGCACTTATGCCTGGCTGGGCATCCTCTCACAAGCTGAACCCCTCATCTCTCAACTGAGTGCCCACCCACTTCCCACCCTGATTACCTGTGTGGATCCTTGGGTCCGGGGAGCCATGTCCTGGGGTGTTTGCCTATGTTTCTTTCTTTGGTTTTTGAGTCCCCAGCCCCAATGCTTAAGCAAAAGGAAATGAAATAAAAATCTTGCTTAAACCAAGACCTCTGTCTGGTGCCTGACTTCTCCACTGCTACTAGACCTCAGGCGACTGACTTGCCCTCTCTGAGCTTCAATTTCCTTATCTGTAAAACAGGATAATGATACCTAGTATGCCACATTCAAGACTGCTGCAAACATTGAAATAGGGACGCAGGAGAAATGCAGGACTTCAGTAAATGTTGCTTCTCTTTATTCCCAGGTGTTCTGAAGATCTCAGTTCGGGGTGTGTTCATGTGCGTGCGTATATGTGTGAAGGGTGTGTGAGTGTCCCCAAACAACTCCCCAGATGCCTTCTAAGCCTGTGACACTGGTGTTGAGGGAGAGAGTGTCCATCCCTGGAACCCTCTGCTCAGCAGGGGGACAGTCAGAGACTTGAGCATCCAACCCCCTCTTCCTGGCAACTCTGTGCTCAGGGACTCACAGAGTCAAGCAAGTTATTGAATTCAGCATACACTGAATTTTATTTATTGCCACTCAGGAGGGTGGGGGCAGCTGAAAGGGTCAGGGCCCACCCCCTGCACCCCCAGCCCAAAAGCCCGGGCCAAGAAGGACACAGGCTTCAATGGCTCTCATGTGTTGCAGACAACATGGTGTTGAGATCTTGCATGGTGGAGGGTGACGCTGGTCCCTGAAGGGAGATGGAGGAGGAGGCAGAGCTGGGAACAAAGGGTTAAAGGGAGCGATGTAAGAGAGCTCTCGATTCCCACCGCGGAGATAGCCAGACCCCAGCAGAGGCCCAAACTGACTCGCAAACACACAGCCCCATCCTTTCCCCTCCCAAAGAACTACCTTTTCAAGCAATTCCAAGAAGCTGGACTCATAGGAGGAATTCGTCAGAAAAGACTCCTTCAGCTTCAGTTGCAAAATCATACCTGGCCCTGCGGATCCAGAAGTACGGCTTAGGACCCGGCAGTCAGGGCTGAATCCCCCGGAGACGCAGTACCTTCCTGCCCACGCTCCCCAGCACAGTTCCTCTTCCCCAACAGCGCCCCTCCAGAGCCTCCTGGAAGCTCAGGATGGGGTGTCTCTGTCTCTCTCAGGGACCATGGAGTCCCACTCCCTTTCTCTGGCCTCTTCACGCCACAGGGACCCAGAAGTCCTGCCCTCTAGCCCTCACCTGTTCCATGTGAGCTGCCAAGGAGGGTCAAGAGGAGGACAAGGGGCAGCCCAGACCCCATAGTGGCCACCGCACTCCTGGGATGGAGGAGACACTGAAGTCCCAGTGGCCTCTCCTTGCCAGGCCTGCTTTCTACACCCCACTCAAGCCTTAGCATAAGTGTTTGAGGGGAAGTGGGAGGGGGAATCTGGTCAACTGAATTTTCCAGTTCTCCCAGTAAAAGAGGACCCAGGAGAGGACCATTCACTGTGCTCTTGGGGAAAAGAGAAGGAGATTCCCTCTCTTCACTCTGTATCCCACCCCTACCTTGTGTCTCCAGGTTTGAGGGAGAGAGTGCTGGTCCTATAGACAGGGAGATGAAGAGGGAAGCAGGGACCAGGCAGGCGTCCCTCCTGCAGGTGTCTGGACCCCACCCATGCCCGGACCTCCCAAGGCTCTTTAGAGATTAATTATTAACTGCAGTTAATTTTCATCATTCTTGACACCGAAGGACTCAGGAATGTGGGCCCAAAAGGGAGGGGTGGATTAAGCCAAGTTTCTTCCAGAACCCAGGTGTCCTGCTGCCTCAGCTTTTTTTTTTTAAAGACTAGTCAAGTGCAGTAGTGAAAAGGGGAGAAGGAGTAGAACAAGGAGTTGGGTCTATAATGGACTGTGAACACTGCTCCCCGAGCCTTGGTGGCTTTCTAGATGAGAAATCTGGTCATGGGAACTTCCATTGCTGAACATTCTGTTTTACTTGCTCTAACGCATCCTAGATTGTCAGGTGGAGACACGAGTTTCCTCAGACATTCTCCCACCCTTGCCTTGTGCAGCCATGAAAAGAGGACGCCCACCTACTCCCGGCCGAGACGCCTACAGGCAAGCGCTGGGACAGGCAAGCACAGGACAGATGTGCAGAGGGAGTTACTGACCCTCTTTAGAAACTAGGAAAGTAAGGCACAGAGAGGGTAAGTGACCTGCTAAGGTCACCCAGTCAACCAGTAGCAGAGCGATTAGAACCTATCAGACACAGGGACACACCAGCCATGGAAACTCGCTTGAACACACAAGGGCACAGGCCTGCGTCTTCCTATCTGCCTCTTCCCTATGCAGCCTCTCCACCTTCCCCAAAGCCAGTGGGACTGAGCACAGAGGGACGAAAGCAGAGAGCGCACTGGGCAGAGGTAGTGGGAGAGCAAAAGCAAGATGGGGAAACAGAGATAGAGGTCTGCACTGTAAATGTAAAGTGAGGCAACCAGTGACTCCCAGACTTGCACAGGAGAACAGGAAGACCACAGTGGGAAGAAAGCATGGAGGAGAAGAGCAGCAGGCACAGGAGGAATGAGCAGGAGGTAGAATTTGGGAACGCAGAGAGATTTTCCTTAGAGAAGAGTAGGAGCCCTCCCTCCCTCCCTTCCTCCCTCTCTCCCTTTTTTTTTTTTTTTTTTTTTTTTTTACAGGGTCTTACCCTGTCACCTAGGCTGGAGTGCAGTGGTGCGATCTTCTCCTGCCTCAGCCTCCCGGGTAGCTAGGATTACAGGCACCCACCACCACCCCCGGCTAATTTTTGTATTTTTAGTAGAGACGAGGTTTCACCATGTTGGCCAGGCTGGTCTCCAACTCCTGACCTCAGGTGATCCACCCACCTCGGCCTCCCAGAGTGCTGGAATCACAGGCATGAGCCACTGCACCTGGCCTCCCCTACACTTTCTACAGGCATGTGCTAGGCTCATCACTAAGTATTCCTTTATAGCTCATAAGCACCTGTGAAGTAGGTACTAGATTACCCTGAGTTTACAGGTGAAATTAAGACTTAGGCCTGTGGCTTGCCAGAGAATGCACAGCTCAGCAGTGGTGGATTCCAGTGCAGTGGACTCAGACCTCGTGCTGAGATTCTGGGGATTCAGGGCTCTCTGGCTCCAGAGCTGGGTTCTGACCTTCCATATCACACTGTCCCAAAACATGACACATATCTTCCTTGGTGCCCCTTATCTCCCCTTTCCCCTTCCCTGTCAAAGGAACGGGAAGCTCTGTGAGCCGCAGCCATCTAGGTGAGAGATGGCTCAGGTATTGACCTTCCCAGCCCACCCTTAGGTTTCCAGAAGGTCAAATGCACAGTCCTAGACCCTCATGGTCCCCCTACAACCCCAGTTTCCAAATCCTGCTTCCCTGAGGGACTCATACGTCCTGACTTCCAATGGTTGTACTTCTAGGAACAAGAAGATGACCTTGGGATAGGACATTTGGGTCTACCCCTTTAAAGGATGGTCTGGGCTATGGATTGACTCAGACCTGGGGGACAGGTCCCTAGTCCAGGAAGAGCCCAAGGGCCAGGTGGGGGAGCCCGCAGGCTCTTACTCACTCTCCCCCTCATCCAGTGCTTCCTGGGATCAGGCTGGGACAGGTTAATCCTCTGGGACAGCTTGGTGACCTCTCCCTAGGGATGGAGATTCTGGTGTCGATGGAGGCCCTGGCATACCTGGCTCTCCCAGGACTCGTAATAGGCCCCAGAGCCTTTAAAGAGCCTGGGAGATGGGCCTGGCCAACATGCTTCAACTGGCGCCATGGACACTGTGCTGGTACTGCTCCTGGGCCTGCAGGCCTTGTCTGGAGCCAGAGAGCACTCGGGCCTGGACAGGAGGTCTTGAGGGAGGACATGAACTTTGGACCCAGTGGGATGGCCAACTCTTCTATGGTTTTTCTTTTTTCAACAGTTCAGCTGACCCTACTGGGGACTTCTGACACAGTATCCCCAGGTCTCCTCTCTGTCTCTGGAGGTCTCCCCTCTGTCTCTGGAAGTGTCCCCACTGTCTCTGGAAGTCTCCCCACTGCGTCTGGAGTTCTCCCCGGTTTCTGGAAGTCTCACACTGTTTCTGGAAGTCTTCTCACTATCTCTGCAACTGTCCCCACTATCTCTGGAAGTCTCCCCACCACCTCTGGGAGTGTCTCAACAGCTTCTTCAACCTCTGGGAGTTTTCCCAGCAGTCCTCAGCCTTTAGCTCCAACTGTTTCTAGGAGCACTTCAGGAACAGTCTCCACATCATCAGGTGATATTTCTGTTGCTCAACCCATCTCTGGAGAACTCTTCAGCTCGGTCTGTAGCTCTGGGGTGGGGCTTCCTGCAAGCCTGGCAGTTTCCCAGAACCTCACTGGAAGCAGCTCCCTTGCCTTTGTGGCTATACAAGGGTCTCTCTTTCTGTTTTCCAATTCATCACCTTTTTCTGTCATGATTACTGCCTTTTGTATCCTAAGACTTTCTGCTTACTTCAAGGTCATGAAAATATTCTCCTCTGCATTCTTCAGAAACGTTATTATTTTAGCTTTCGAACTTAAGCCTATTATCCATCTCAAATTAATTTCTGTGTACGGAGTAGGGTGGAAGTCAAGATTCAATTTTTTTCTCCTTATAAATATCCAGAACCATTATTTCCAAGGACCCTCCCCTGTCCCCGACACTGAACAGTGAGCACCTGTCCTGAAAGTTGAGTGACTGTATTTGTGTGGGTTTGTCGGTGCCCAGGCTGGAGTGCAATGGTGCGATCTCGGCTCACTGCAACCTCTGCCTCCTGGGTTCAAGTAATTCTCCTGCCTCAGTCTCCTGAGTAGCTGGGATTACAGGCGCCTGCCACCACACCCAGGTAACTTTTTTGTATTTTTAGTAGAGACAGGATTTTACCATGTTGGCCAGGCTGGTGTCGAACTCCTGACGTCAGGTGATCCACCTGCCTCGGCCTCCCAAAGTGCTGGGATTACAGGCGTGAGCCACTGCGCCCGGCCTATCGGTCAGTTCTTACTCCAGGGCCACAGTGCTTAAGGACTACAGCTTTGCAGCAAGTCTTGAGATTATAGTGTAAGTTCTCCCTTTTTTTTTTTTTTAAGAGACTGTCTTGGTTATTCTCAGTCTTGATTTTCATAACATCAGTTCATCAATTTATTCCAAAAGCTTGCTAGGGTCTTGTCTTTGGGTGCATTTGATGTGACTTCTGCTTTGCTCTTGCTTGAATCTCTTCTGTTTTTTCCCTCTGCCCTCTTAGGACCTGCCTCCTCCAGTGCTCCTGGAACTGCTCCAACTGTGCCTGGGACCTCAGCACTGAGTGTTGCTGTCTTAGGGGGTTCCACTGCCACCATGGCTGGAGTGGCCACCACGTCCCCTGGGCTCAGCATCCTGGCCAGTTAAGGCACTCTTCTCGGCATTACAGTAAAAGGTTGATGGGCCTATTCGATCTCATTCCCCTGCAGCCACCCCTGGCTCCTTGGGAGGAGTTCAGGGATAGTCAATAGCGCCTGCTTTCAACTGTGTTTTAAATCTGTCTGAGGATGTCTGTAGCTCAAAGGTGTTTTGGCGGCCTCTGGTCAGACCAACTGCCAGATGTCTGTTACCTGGCTGCTTTCTCGAAAGGTTTTCATCTTCCTCATGATCTAATCTCTCTGTCCAGGGCAAGAGGCATTCCCTCCAGAGATCACCCCTCCTTCCTCCATCTTCCTCCTCCCCTCCCTTTCATTCCTAGAAGGGGAGCTTGAGGAATACCCCGCAGGAAGTCTGAGGGCAGGAAACGAATGGAAGGAAGACAGGAGAGCAGGCTCTGGTTCCCCTTAAGAACAAGAATCAGGGTGGAGTGGTGGGGAGAACTGGGGCTAGGAGGAAAGAGAGTGCCTACTGAGGACCCTCCCAGTGCAGAGGCATCACAGACCCAGGGATGCGGACAATAGGGCCTGAGAAAGTCAGTGAGGTGGGGACCTCAGTGATGAGTCTGGGACTGACAGACGTGTCCACAGGGAAGAGGCAATTGAGACTTGGATTGAAGCTCTTTAAACCCCCACCCCCACCCCTGCTGAGATTCTGCTTCCAAGGTGATAGGAGAAAACACCAGAGAGATGAGGTCTCAGAGTCAGGGACATCAGTCACAGAAAGAAAGATGGAAAGTCGGAGGGCAGTGGGGGTCTGGGGACCTGGAGGCATCACCTGCCTCAGTCACTGGCCCTGTCTTTGTGCCCTAGGTCTGAAACCCCAGAAGGACTCTGTCTCAGACTGGGCCATTGTGTTGATCACTCTCACTTTGGTGGCAGCAATTGTCAACCTAATGTATGGTATCAAGAAGGTGAGCAACGCTGTGGTCCCATGTGTGGGATCCCTGTGCCAGTGGGGCTGGGACCTGG